GCCACACTCCCTAGCTGTACCTACTCAGCAGCCTCCTGCACACTTGCCCACCTTTCTCGTGGCCCCTGTCAGTCTCATGCACCCAGGCTAGCCTCGAACTCACTGTGTAGCCAAGGGTGGTCCTGGGCTCCTGAACCTGGTGCCTCTGCCCCCCCCCCCAGTGCTGAGATTATGGGTGTAGACAATTACACCCAGTGATGGTCCTCAATTTATGCTGGCCTGAGCCCAGTCCTCCCTCTTGCGTGCGAGGCAGATGCTCTACCGACAGAGCTTCATGCCCAGCCTCAGAAGAGGTGTGTGTGCCTGTATGTGTGTGTGCCTCTGTGTGTGTGTCTGTGTATGTTCCCGTGTGTGTCTGTGTGCATGTGCCTGTGTGGGTGTCTCTGTGTGTGCCTGTATGTGTCTGTGTGTGTGTGCCCGTGTGGGTGTCTCTGTGTGTGTCTGTGGTGTGTACAGGTGTTTTGTCTGCCTGTATATCTGCCCCGCATGCATGGTTGTGCCTGAGGAGGCCAGAGAGGGCATCAGATGCCCTGGAACTGGAGCTACTAAAGGTTGTAAGTTGCCATGTCAGTGCTGAGAACAGAACCCGGGTCCTCTAAGAGAGCAACAAGTGCTCTTAACTGCTGAGTCATCCCTCCTGACCCCAGGAACACCTGCTCATGTTTGTCTCTCTGGAATGTGGCCCCACGGAGGGCTCACCTTGTGCCCAGTATGTCCTCAGGAACCCTAGGTTCTTAGTGCTGATTCAACGAAGCTCCTGGAGCCCCATCTTCTCCTGCAAGCTGCTGAGAAGAGTCTTTCATGACTAATCCTGTTTCTCCTGCTCTTGGGGTTTTCGTCCAGGGCCAGTAGCTCCCTGGCCCTCATGAGGTGCGCACTGTTTCCCCTTCCTCCCCTACACAAGCGTACACACTGTGCTCTCAAGCTTCTTTCCCCTCCCCTTTCCCCTCCTTGCTCCTCTGGTTCCAAGCTAGCTTTCAGGGCTCATTAAGTGCAGGCATTGCCTCCTCCCGGAAGCCCTCCTTGCTTTCTTTCCAGTGAATCCTGTCTTCTTCCCCTAAAAGATCTGGTGCCCTCTGTCTGAAAGCACAGTCCTCTTCCTTATGAAGAACGTCATCTTCCTTATTCCTGATCAAGAGAGCTGCTCAAGGGACCAGAACCAGTCTGGCTCCTCACCGTGTCCTTGGTACCCAGCCCCAACAGGCGTGGGTTGGAGTGGGACCTTAGAAAACACGAGCCTGGCATAGCCACATCTGAGATTAGACAAGGCAGATCGTATCTCCTGGCTGTGCAACCCACAGCAAACCATTTTCTCTAGCTGAGCATCAGTTTCTTCATTTATAACATGGGTGTGATGGTCTTAACTGTCAGCATTGTGAGGACTTTCGAAGGTGGAAAATGCTGGTGAGCTGTGGGTCCCTGAGCTTTGCAACTTCTGTGAGCATCAAGCTCTTGTGTCCTCTGTGAAAGAATGCCCGGGAGTCCTATCCTGAAGGTCTTTAGAGGTGGGGGGGGGGGAGGAAGATCAGGCCCTGGACTTGATTTTTAGACACAGCCCCATAGTTCATTGCCTGTGTGGTCCCAGGCAAGCCTCTTGCTTCTCTGAGTCTCGGGTTCTCGATCTAGAACGGAGGCTAAAGATACACATTATCCTAAAACTGCAAATAACGCAGCAGATCGAGAACTGAGGTCTCCTTTATTGTACCCCAAAGCAATCTCTTGCCTTCTCCTGAATCTCCCTGTGACTTGGGGCTGCGTCTAAAGAGCACACTAGATATGAGCCTTGTCTGTCCCGAGACTGGACAAAAGCCTTCTTATTCTAGATGACAACCTATGACAGAGACAGACTCTGAGACACCTCAGAGAGTCTAAACGTGGGTGAATCCTTTGGGGTCTGCGTCTTCGGAGAGCCAGGCAAGTAAAGAAACAGGAATGCAGCCGGGGAGGACTCATACCTGCTCTCCAGACCCTCCCCTCTCCCAAATGCAGTTCGTGTGTTTGTGTGTCCTTCCTGAATGCTGCCTGGAGCTGGGTACACAGCAGGTGCTCGATAAGTGAGTGATAGAAGGATGGGTTTCTTCTGGACAGCCAGCAAACATTAATGCCCGCTACATTAGTAGCCTCAGCACTGTCCTAAGGCAGGGAGCACTGGATGGCGGGTAGAAAGAAGTGCAGACGAACCATTTCCCAGGCTCCCTCGGGGCACCTCCAGGTCCGTTCAGTTCTTACCACCCTTAACCAGCTCCTTCTGGGTGCCGGATTCCAAACCAGGGCTTCCTCCAGAACTGAGAACGCCCCAGCACCTCGTGTATCCTGGAAAGGCTTTGTGGGAATCCTGGGAACCCCCAAGGTCACAACTCTTTACATTCCTCAAGTCTGCCACGTCCCCTCCAGTAGCAACCAGCAGCCTCTGCTCAATGCTCCCAGGCAGTGAACATGGCCCTTTCCCCTCCTAACGCCCTACAACAGCCTGGGGTTTTCCCCAGAATGGCCAGCAGGTGGCGTGGAGGCTCCCCTCTCCCCATTACTGGACAATAGGCTACGTCCCACCCGGACCCTCTCCCTCCTTTTCCCTCAGCCTGGATAAAACCGTGACCTCTGTCTGACCCCTCTCTTCCCTGCTGTTCCAGTACTGGTTGAGGAGACTCTGAGACTCTGGTTGCTCCTACAGGCCCCCCGGTAGTCTGAGAAAGGCAAGGAGGTCCTTGGGGGTTAAGCTGCAGTTGGTGGGGTGGGGCTGGCAGGGCGGGGCAGGCAGCAGCTGCCAACCAAAAGAGAACGAGAAAAAGAAGGGGGAAGGTCCCTGGCTGGGCTACTATCCCAGGCAGGTCCAGGTCCCAACAAGGTCCCAGCTAAGGCTCAGCCCCAGGACAGGGTATGTGGCCAAGGAAATAGATGGTGGTAAGGAATAGGGGTGTCAGTCTGCCCATCGTGGCAGTCCTGGGGGTACAGAGGGTTGGGTGGTATAATCAGAAAGTTCGACAGAACCCCCTGAACCACCTTCCACCCATTTACCCCATTCTCCCCAGGGGTCCAGGTAGAAACCTGGGAGGGGGCAGAGGGAGGAGTCCTTGGGGGCAGGCATTAGTAAAGAGTGTCCTGTGGCTCCTTTTTTATTAGAGCTCCAAGTTTTAATATAAAAATTCACATAATGGCAAATGATAAAGTTGATTCAGTCAGCCTGCCCATCCCACTGTGACCTCTAGACTCTACCCTGTGTGTGTTTACCTAGGAAGATGCCTCCTTACCATGGTAGATANATCCCACTGTGACCTCTAGACTCTACCCTGTGTGTGTTTACACGGGAAGATGCCTCCTTACCAGGGTAGATAGATAGCTATTTTAAAATGTAATATATGCTAACTCAACCAACATTCAGGTAGTGAATTGTTTTCTTTCCTGAAAAAAAAAGAAAGAAAAAATCCAGCCATCCGTCCTTCTGGACAGAGATGTGATGGTTCAGTGTCCAATTTTACTTAGTTTCCCGATGCACTTTGGTGGACAGAAAACATTCCAAACTGCTAAATTATATTGTTCAACAGTTCTTTCCAAAAGGGTATCCTGTGGCTTCTTTTGCCTCCTGGTGGAGTTTGCACCAAGCTCGGGGACCTCTCTCTGTACGCCTCCATTTCTTAATCTAAAGCCTGGGGGTAGGATGGATGACCTTGAAGGGACTTGCTCCCCCTCTTTGGGAAGAGATCTCTGTGACAAAGGACTGTCCCACCCACCTACCCACCACCACTGAAGGGTAAGCTTTCAGACGGGAGAGTGACAAAGCCCTTTGTGTAGGGAGGCCAAAGGACTCTCTCTGCTCTAGCCTTGCTCCCTCGTCTTGCTTCTCTGACTGCGACTGGGTTAAAGGATGTTCCAGGCTGGGGCTGGAGGCTTCCTGTTGTCCTGTAGGGAAGGACAGCTGGTGTGGGATGAAGGCTTCTCTCTACCTCTCAGACCATCTCAGGAGTGCTGGAAGGGTGTGTGAGGACAGGATGGCAGTGGTTGTTCCAAGGCAGGGAAGAAAGGTTTTATCAGTGTGTTAATTACTGAAGCTATCTGCCACATCTCCCAGCCCCTAGCACTTAGAGCCATTAGCTAAATCAATGCTCAGAATGGGCATAGTGGTCCCCAAAGTCTCTGGAAACCACAGCCTCCACCCCGTGTTTCTTGAAGAAACATGGTTCCAGATTGTTCTTTTAATAATCTAGAATGTGAGCAGCTTTATAGAGAGATTTTAAACGCTGGGGTGTTGAAGTCACTCTGGGTAGAGGGGTCTGTTGAGTCAAGCTCAATTTTGGAACTCAGACAGAGCACCCTGGGTTCAAATCACAACTGTGGAGGGTCCTTGCACAAAACAACTATCCAAACTGCAGTGTCCATCTACATGAAATGCCCACAGCGGAGTGGACCCTAAGGGGCTGCAGTGAGACCGAAGTCCCATACCCAAGAAGGTCCTCAGAGTGCCTGCGTGTAGCAGATGTTCACAGTGCTAGAGAGGGAATTAAAAATAGGCAAAGAAAAAGAAAAAAACTGGCCTTGGGTCTCAGCTAGACCTCCAGAAAGTCAAAGGAGACCCTCCTCAGCCCCAAAGGACACACGGAGTCCCTCCCCAGAGTATCCTGTCCGAACCCTACTTACACCTCCCGCAGCGTGTGTGTATGTGTTGTTGTGTGTGTGCCTGGGGTGTGGGCTGGAGTGAGAGGTGGGGCACTGATGGGCATCTCCCAAACACTTGTCCTCCCTCTCTCCCCTGGGGAAGGGCCGGGCCGGGTCAAGACTGTGGCTGGGACTGGCAGGGGAGCGGTGCTGCGGCTCCTGCACTGGCCAGAAAGCGGGAGCCGCGGATCCCCGAAGCCCCTGGCTTTCCGGGAGCGTCCAGAATCGGGATCGGGGACAGGAGTGGGGGCGCCCTCGGTCCTCACCCCGCCCCCGCCCTCTCCCCGCAGCGGGGGCGCCCCGCCCCCCGGGCGCCCGACGTGGACGCGGCCGCTGCCGCCGCCGCCGCCGCGCGGGAGTCGCTGTCCGCGGAACCGATATGCAGGCGGCGCGGGCCGGCGCGGGGCGGCCGGGCCGGGAGGGCCGTGGGCTGGAGTGCGAGCGGGAGCGGCCGCCGGGCGCAGGAGTCGCCATGCCCCTCGGGCCACCGTGCGCCTGGCCGCCCCGCGCCGCGCTCCGCCTGTGGCTGGGCTGCGTCTGCTTCGCGCTGGTGCAGGCGGGTAAGGGGGCCCGGGGCGGGGGACGGGCGGAGGGGGTGCAGCCTCCCCCTCCTACGCTGCCACCGGGGAGTTCTCGGTTCCCTTTCCGCTCCCTGAGGACCTCCTGTGTCACCTGCTCCCTACTCTCCTAGCCCGACCTCAGCGCCTCGGAACCTTCTTGACCCCTAGACCCGTCCTTCAGCCGCTTAACCTCTTCCCTGGGATTTTAGGATCTAGATCCCTTCAGGCCGTCCCCTAATCCTGGGTCTTTGCCTCAGTCACCTTTTCTGGCCCTGGGAGCAGCCGAGGACACCAGTGCCCCACCTTGGGCCTCCCTCTGTATCCCTAAAGACCTTTCTCAGAGACCCACAGGCAGATCTGCACAGACGCACCTCTCTGTGCAGGAGCGACCATGAAGACAAGAACTGGAACCTGAGATTGCAGGGTGTGTGGGGGGGCCTAAGCCTGCTACAGTCAGTGTCTGGCCCACCCCACGGGCTGCCTCCCCAGATCACTCCGATCTGTCCCTCCTGGCTGCTGCTGCCGCCCTCCCCCCCCACCTCTTTCCTTGCCCTGCTTCTGTGTCCGTGTGTCTCTAATGCTCCACTTGTCGGCTCTCTAGATCTGTGACCGCAGCCACCTGTCTGTGTCCTTCTGTCCCTTTCCATCTGCATGTCTGGCATAATCCCTGGGCCTTGAGTCCACTCATCTGAGGGGTATGGGGTTACTGCTCAGGCCCAGGGCTTCTAATCACAACACCTGCGCTCTTGAGAGACACAGCCCGTGTGACTCTCCTCTCCCGGAAGGTCCTTGCTGTCCTGCTCCCCCACTGCCTTCCCACTTACTCTCTGAAATTGCCCCCATTCTCCTTCTCCTTCACCCAGAAGGCTTTGCCCTATCTTGGTGTCTCTCCACCCTGTTCTGAATGCCTTTCTCTAACTTCCCCCATCCCCGCCACTTGAGGCCCCACGGAATATGGAGAGGTTCACACGGACCCTTTCCCTTATGAGCGCTCTGCCCAGCTCAGCACAATTCTGGGTTGCCCCTCACTCCCAAGCCAGGGCTCAGCCCTTCCGGGCTCTTCATCTCGGGGTCTGTCTCCTTCCCTCAAGGTCACTTAGTTGACCGCGTGGGGCTCTAGAAAGGGCCGTGAACTAGGAGTTCTTGTGACTGCTTCCGTCTGATTAATCAGCTTCTACAACTCCGCTCAGCTATCCCCCCACCTCCGTACCTAACCACCCATCCACTAGACCTCACCCTGGCTGAGGCCTAGGCTCATCAGTTTTACCTAAGGACCCTTGGTCTGGCCAGTCTGTAGCAAGCGTCACGAGGACCCTGGGCCTCTCAACCATCCAGGGCCCAGCTGAAGCCTTGGATTCTCTTCTCCCCTCTCCACATAGCCTCCCCCAGCTTCCCCCTTCCTCATTTCTGGAGACACTGGGCCTCAGAGCCGGGCATGCTCAGGCTCAGGTGCCTCCCTGCCCTACAGACAGCCCCTCGGCCCCAGTGAACGTCACCGTCAGGCACCTCAAGGCCAACTCCGCAGTGGTCAGCTGGGATGTCCTGGAGGATGAGGTTGTCATCGGGTTTGCCATCTCTCAGCAGGTAACCCTTGAGGGTGCTCGGGAGGAGAGGGCATAGCAAGACGCTGACAGAAAACTGGAAGCAAACAGTGTTGCGTGCCTGAAATCCCAGAACTCAGGAGGCACAGCAGAAGGACTGCAAGTTCAAGGCCAGCCAGGCAATACAACAGACCCTGTCTTAAAACAAAACAAAACTAAAGCCGGGCGGTGGTGGTGCACGCCTTTAATCCCAGCACTTGGGAGGCAGAGGCAGGTGGATCTCTGTGAGTTCGAGACCAGCCTGGTCTACAAGAGCTAGTTCCAGGAGAGGCTCCCAAACCACAGAGAAACCCTGTCTCGAAAAAACAAAAAACAAAAAACAAAAAAAAACAAAAAAAAAAAAAAACCTGAAAAGAAAAAGAGAGGATAGTGTCTGTCTGTCTGGGATGTAGGGTGGTGGCAGAGAAACAGAAAAGAAACACAGGACAAGAGATATGAGTGACGAGTTGTACATTTAGCTTAGAATCGTGGCCACAGAAGGTCCATCGTCAGTGGAGGAGGGTTTGGGAATGGAAGTTCAGAGCATGGGTCTGACCTCAGACACACACTGGCATTCTTAGTCGTTGCGTGGCCTTGGGCAACATCCTGACCTCTCTGAGCCCCTTTTCTTAGCTGTACCATGGAGAAAATGGCACCCGAGGACGGGTTGATGGTGATGTAAATGAAAAGGACTTGTCACTGCGGAAGTGGGCAGCGTAGGGTTGGTGCCGGCCCACTGACATACCGAGCCCTCCCCCTTTCAGAAGAAAGATGTGCGGATGCTCCGCTTCATCCAGGAGGTGAACACCACCACCCGATCGTGTGCTCTCTGGGACCTGGAGGAGGACACAGAATACATCGTGCACGTGCAGGCAATCTCCATCCAGGGCCAGAGCCCAGCTAGTGAGCCTCTGCTCTTCAAGACCCCACGTGAGGCCGAGAAGATGGCGTCTAAGAATAAAGGCAAGCCTGGGCATGCTAGAGTCCCAGGGTGGGGGCAGTTAGGCGAGGGCGGTTGGGCAGAGCAGGGAGGAAGCAAAGCACCTCAAAAGATGGAGGTTTGCTTTGGTCCCCCAGGAGGAGACTGGTGTGTAAACGTCCTCCTTTGGATTGAGTCCAAACGCTGCCACCCCAAGCAGCCTTCACGATGTTCCTGGAACTCTTCATGTTCCAGGAACTTCTTCTTGTGGGCTTGGCCCCGGAGGAATGGCTGGGGAGGAAAGGAGCCCAGGACTAGCTAATCTCTCCCCACAGATGAGGTGACCATGAAGGAGATGGGGAGGAACCAGCAGCTGCGAACAGGCGAGGTGCTGATCATCGTTGTGGTCCTCTTCATGTGGGCAGGTGAGTCAGGCGTCCAGGTCCAGGTCCTTCTTCACTGACCCCTGAGGAACTGAGGGCTTGCAGATATCTAGGAGGGGGTGAAATTGGCTAAGTCCTGCCTGTAGCGGCTCTGAGAGCTAAATCTGACCCTTTCTCTAGTCCCCTCCACCCAAAACACAGCCTGGTATTACTGTTTTGTATGCTGTGGACACGCCTGCCTTCTTCCCCGCAGAAGTGGTCCAGCCTCCTAGGCTGGCACAGTCAGTGTACCGTGGTCCCAGCTTCCTCCTCTTCTGGGATGCTGGGCATCTGCGGTCATCAAGCTTGGGAAGCTCAGCAAGGAAGGCACTGCCTGACCTCAGATGTAGAGCACTCTCTTCACCTCCCTATTCTAGATGCGGCTGAGCAGCAAGCACACAATCTCCCACCTGCCCATAGGAATGGCCTCCCAGCCTTTGTGGGCCCACAGCACGTTGCCCCTCTTTAGTCTTTGTGTAATTTTGGGTGGGCAACTCTCTTTTCTTTCTAGTCTCTGAGCTCCCTGAGGATAAGGTCCACATCATTCATCCTTATATTCAACCAACCGCTCCATTCTAGACTCCACTCCACTCTAGAGGAGCCTTGTGCTTGCCAGGAACTTGGGCTGCAACAAGATTGGGCTTAACTATAATTGAATACAATGAGTGCTATAGTTGTTCTAGTGTGGAGAAGGGCTGGAGAGATGGCTCAAAGGCTAAGAGCACTTGATACTGATCTTCCAGAGGACCCCGGGTTAGTACCCAGCATCCATATCAGGTGACTCACAACCACCAAAAACTCCAGTCCCAGGGGATCCAACAATTCTGCCTCTGTGGGCACCTGTACCCACATGCACACACACAAAAAATTAAAAATAATAATAAAAAAAACCAATAAACTTAAAAATAGCACTAATATGAGAAAAGGAGATGAGGTCAATTCTGGAGCTAGAAGTAGAAAAATTTTAAAAATTTAAGTTAAAACAAAACAAAAACCATAGGGGCTAGAGGTGTGGCTCAGTGGTAGAGTGCTTGCCCATCATCCCTGAAGTCTAAGATTCAATCTCCAACACTGCAGACAGGACAAAAGACCGAGAGCAGAGGCAACATGGGAACCGAGCTGTGAAGGCTAAACAGAAGCTAACCAGGCAGCCAACAGAGGAAGGTTGTTCGCGATACGAGCTTCAAGAAACATCAAATTAAGCTCACAGACTGACTGAGGGTAGCTGTGGCCGTGACAGAGCGTGGAGTGTCAGGAACAAAGGGTAGAGAGCCTGAGGGCTGGGGTCTTTTGAGAGATTTGAACACCACACTCAAGCCTGAGTATCATGGTGGCTGAGGGCAGACTGTTGAAGAAGCATTTGGGGGAAAAATGTTTCTTACTCCCACAAAAAAGCAGGTACTCAAGAAAAGGCAGGAAGACGAGGGCTAGACAAAAGAGGAGGTTTGATTATGGTACATTATTAGGCTTGGCACAGACAGTGTTTACATAATCACAACACTATAAACAGAAAATTAACCCAAACTTGTGGTGGAAGTCTATTAGGATGTTGGAGAGGGAAGTTGTTGGGCTTCATCTACTATGATGGGAAGTTGAGAGCGATCTCAGATGGACCAGGAACACTATAGAGGCAGCATGGGGAACATTTCTCGAACCGGAGTTAGCGGTGTGAGTACTATTCATGTTACTAGGTTACTAGTCAGTGAATGACTCTGTGCATCACCTCCCTGCCGCCCCACGGTGACCTTGAGAGTTACTGACACCCTCTCACCAGTGTGCTCCCTTGTGCCCTGGGACTAATAATAATAGGCTGGAGTTGTAAGGATCAAGTGAGATTGAATACGTCAGTTCACAGCACAGGGCCTGGAATAGGCTCAGCAAATGCTGTTAGCGTTCCTGCGGTGGCTGGCAGAGGCTTAAAGAAAGGGTAACGGGGGAGACATATGATCAGATCTATGCTCTGGGAGGGCCAGCCCGGCAGCAGGGAAAGGGATGGCTCATGCCCGGGTAGATGGGGAAAGGTGCCAGAGGCTGGAGGGAGGCTGCAGCAGCGCAGAGGCCATCTGGAGATGGCAGCAAGGCCTGGAGGGGAACAGGCAGGCAAGGTAAGGAATCAGTGCCGGGCCTCTGACTGCTCCTGCTCGTCTTCCTAGGTGTTATAGCCCTCTTCTGCCGCCAGTATGACATCATCAAGGACAACGAGCCCAATAACAACAAGGAGAAAACCAAGAGTGCATCAGAAACCAGTACACCAGAGCACCAGGGCGGGGGTCTCCTCCGCAGCAAGGTTAGGGTAACATCTGGGCTTGCCTTAAACATCTGTAGTCCCTGGACTGCAGAAGGGGTCAGCTCAGGGCCTGGCATGGCAGCAGCTGGGCAAAGCCAAGCTTGGCTGCCGCCCGTGTGACACAGGGACACTGCAAATTGATTTTGGATCCTCGCCTTTTGCAGGGTGCCAAGGGTCAGCGGTGCTTTTTTTTTTTATTATTATTATTATTATTAAAATAGCCAATGGGAACGGCAGAGTTCCTGGTTGATGTGGGAGGGACAGCAAGTGTAGGGGTGATGTGTCTGGGGCGGTGTTTTATGTCTGTCCCTTCATTTCTTCTTGTGTGAAAACAGATATGAAGCCGTTTAAGTGTGCGCTCCGAGCAGCTCAGGAGACAGTAGAGAATGGGAGAGGACCTCGCTGTTCTGACGATGACTGTCCAACAAACATCTGGCCCTCTCTGCGTCTCCTTCCCTCCATCTTCTCCTATCATCAGGCTTTACTATCTTCTCTCTTGGCTTCTATCTTTCTGATGTCTTGTCCTGAAGCCTCTCATTAACCCTTAACTCCAGGAGCACCTCAACAACGCCTGTGGCCGAGGCTGCACCCAGAGACAGAGCTGTGGAATACGAGAGAGCCAGCCCAAGGGAGGTCTTTGCTGTGGGCGGACTGGGTGCCAGGGTTCTCAGCCCGGGACTCATGTCTTGGCCACTCAGCTTGACCAAAGGCTGTGTGTGAAAGGCAGAGACGACTTCCAGGCAGGCAGGGCTGTTCTTTTCTTCCCGTGGGGACAAGAGTCTGGCGTTTGGGCTACAGCCCTGCTGGTCCTTCTCTCCTCTGCCCAGTTTCCCATCTTGCAAGAAGTCTATTCAACCAGCTCTGGCCACTTCTCTTGTTCTCTTGTTTGTTCCCTTCCCAGTTTCCAGACAAGCCCCCAGTGAACATCATCAAAGTGTGGCTGGCCCTGTCTGCAGAGAAAGGCTTTCATTCTCTGCTGGTCCCTGCTTCCTTCCTGGGCACAGGGTGAATGTTGACTAAAGTGGTGGGGGCACAGCTAGCCACAGTTCCTTTTCCTCATCTTAGTCTGATGATGGAGGCCGAACTATAAACCCAAATTTTGCAAAAGCAAAAAAAAAAAAAAAAAAAAAAAAAAAAGCCAAACAACAACAAAGAAAAAGCCACAAAGCTAGAAGGCCTGGCCTGCACTCTGGAGAAGACAATACCATACTGCATGAGACCCAGCCTCCCACCTCCCACACTTCTTCTGGACTGGCTTCCTCTTTGAGATAATGTGCAAAGCTCTGGGAGAGAGCAAGCAAGTGCACCAGGGAAGCTGTGCAGCTGCCTGCTTCTCAGGGTCCTGACTCCATCAGGCCATTTCTAGCCCAGTCAGAAAGGACATCTGTGGCGTGAGGCACACCTTTGCAATGCCTGTGATGTTACTGTTTTGCGGCTTGGAAAACAATCAGAGGGCTGCACTCCAGAGGGCAGAGGCTTCTGCAGAGGCTGGGGCGGATTGCTGGTGTCTTCAGTCTTTGCAGTGAGATCAGGATGGATTCTGAGAAGACCTGGAAGGTAGTGACTCGGCACTGCAGCGGCGTCAGCTGGGATAACCGGAAAGGGCACACCTATGGCCTACACCCTGGGGCTGCTGAGCAACCTGCTGGAAAGCCATTCGCCAGACAGAGAGCAGCTTTGCTGTCACGACTGGCCTCTGGGTCTTTGGATCTTGCCATCTCATTCAGGGTCCTCTGAAAGTTATCCAGGGTTCCCATGTCCTTCCCTAGAGCTTGAAGTGTGAAGAGACAGCTAGATCTCCCTCTTCTCTATTTCTTTTTCCTCTCCTCTGCCCCTTTCTTTTCTTTCTTTCTTTCCTTCTTTCTTTCTTTTTTTTAAAAAAAGGTGCTTGATAAGGCAAGCAGACTTCTCTGGGATACGCACCATGGCTGCCAAATGCCTGCCTGGGAAAAGTGGACTCTCCAGCTTCCACTGGTGGCTAAGGTCGTGTAAGAGGCTGTTCCCAGCACAGAGCAGGTGCTTGGTCATTATTTGTTGTACTGAATGATGCACACTGGTGCCCAAGTCAGAGAGCTAAGCCATCACCCAGTGACTGCCCCTTCATTCGGGTCTATAACAGCTCTCGGGACTGGGTCAGCCACCACTCTGCTTGTTCCAAGTGTGGCAGCACAGGAGAGACAGATGGGGCAGATGTCAGCAAACAAAGGGCTTCCTCCTGGGAGGGCATGAGGTTCCACTCATTGTCTTGTGACTTCCATCCCTGCTGAATGGGGCTGCAAGGCCAAGGCTCCTTAAGAACGGTCCTTACCTCGATCCAGTTAGAGCAATAACCACTTTTTAAATGTAAAATAAAGACAAATGAAAAGGCACACCCTTGTCCTCTGGTAAATGCCCAAACGTTGCCCTCTTTTTCTGGCAATTGGCAGTAAGTCAGGGTGTGTGGAGGAGGGAGTCAGTTCTCTTCCATTTTGGCCTGCAGCTTCTTAGGGACATGCCTGCCAGCCAAGCTGGAGTTGGAAGGGAATTCTCGAACAGATGGGGGTGCACGTGCAGGAGAAGAAAATAGATGCTCCACCATCCTCTTTCTGAGGCTCCTCTCTAAGCTTGGCTTGGGCTGCCTCACCACATAGGTATGCAGGCGCCTGCTCGGTTTCTTAAAACAAAGGGTTTTCCTCTCCCAAGAGCGCTGTGTGCTTATTCCTGCCAGAGGACTGTGTGTGGCTCTTAGCTGGGGTGGGTAAGGAAGGAGAGAATTGCAAAGACTGCTCTCTGCAGAAATCATTCAGTGCTCACTCCGTGCTCTTCTGGGCTGTTAAAGGAACATCATTAAGATCCCAACGGCAGGCTGAAAGGCAGGCAGAGGAACGATGCCATTAGCCAATGAGTGAACTAGGAAATGGGACACCTCGAACATTCCTGTCCAGGGCCAGGGGAGAGAACGTCAGATGTGCAGTGCTTAGAGCAGGCTGCTCAGGTCCCAAGAGCGGAGGGAGAGGAAGGTCTCAGAAGCCTTTGAAGAGACAGAGCTCTAAGCCAAACCTCAGAGAGGAGCCACCTAGGCTCTCTGCTCACATACTTCCAACTGAGAAGCATAGGTACAGGGAGTTAGCAGGGTCTGGAGAGCCCTGTTAGGTGGGGGGGGGNGGGGGGGGGGGGGGGGGGGGGGGGGGGGGGGGGGGGGGGGGGGGGGGGGGGGGGGGGGGGGGGGGGGGGGGGGGGAGGGAGGTTTCCTGTTCATTCGTGCCTGTGAGTACACCATAGGAAATAGAGTAAAGTGCTCCTTTAGCTTAAAGGCCTGTCCTCTTCCTCCTGAAATGAGGATGGCTCTCTTCTGGAATCAATTGCTATTTGCAGTAAACGCCACAGCTATTATTCGAGAAGCACTTCCTCCCTTCCTCTCAGGTGACTCCAAAGATTCCTTGCAATTCAGGAAAGCTCTGAGACCAGGACCCTGGGCAGTCACTTCTCTGAGGGTGGAGGGCTTCCAGAGCCCACCCACACAGGATAATGACTAAAGGCTGTCCTAGAAACACAGTGAGGCCAAGAGGCTAAGGGGAGAAGGCTAGGCTGCTGGGTCTTTGGAGCAGGGACCTTTCTTCTGTCCTCTAAAGTCTAACCCAGCCCTTTACAGGCATACATAACATTTCAGCAGGCCATCTACGACAGGCTTTCAGACTTTATTTTTACTTACTGAATTTTGCTTTTAAGAAGTAGTCTCCAAAAAACTAACTAACTAACAAACAAACAAACAAAAAAAGAGGTAACCTCCAGGGGGCTGGAGAGATGGCTCAGCGTGTTAAGAACACTAGCTCCTCTTCCAGAGGATCTGGGTTCAATTCCCAGCACCCACATGGCAGCTTACAACTGTCTTAACTCCAGTTCACCCAATGCACATACAATAAAATTAAATAAGTTTAAAAAAAAAAAGCCTCCAGGAGCAAACTGCTTCTATAAACAGGGCACTCTGGCTGCCCCGGACCAGTGCACAGATAAAAAAAATATCAAATCTCAAAATACAGCCTGAAGCTAAGTTAAAGAGATCTCTGTGTACAGATAGCCTGTGACACATTTCAGGATTGTCACTTAGGTTACCTTTAAAAGTTGCCTCAAAGATCACATTCCTCCTGTTTCTGACTGGGTGCTGGGCAAGGCCAGATTTTCCATCTACATATTCCGGCTGTTACGGGGGAATTAATGGATTGGAATGACAAGGCAGGTGCTTGTTCATTAAGGAATTCCAACACTGACCAGCTGACTCTGACAAATGGATGCATTTACTCGACAGGTGCCCTAGCATTCACACACACACACACACACACCAAACCCTGCCCCGGCATACATACACACACGCACCCCAAGCCCTGTGATTGTTTGGGGAATAACCGTTTTCTCCTAGAAAACAGGACCTTGGTTTCTCATCCTATACAAGCGCAAGATGGCCTTCTTAGAGCATGAGCTCGCTCCCCATAGAGAAGGCTCGTTTTCTTCCTTTCTACCCACTTCTCTGTAACAAGATGAATGGAAGGTTTGAGACACCATCATTTCAGAAAATTCATCCTGCTTTCTGAAACTTTCGGTGCCTAGGATAGAAACTGATACACAGATGAACAGGAAATAATTACCAGAAGGCGCTCTACACTTGACAGGAATAATGCGTATACACAAGTCAAGACTAATACACGCTGAGATAAGGGCACAAATAGCTAAATGCTTATCACATTTCTGTGCAGTCTTTTGCCTTGTGTAAGACTGGTTTTGTCTAGAATACACACACAAATTTTAGATAGAATTCGGCACAGCGGCACTTGCCTGTAATCTCCTTCTTTTCAGGAGATGAGGCCAGTGTGGTTTCCTAGTGAGATTCTGTCTCCAAAATACCCCCAATGGGCTGGAGACAGCTCAGTGGTAAAGAGCACTGGCTGTTCTTCCAGAGGACCTGGGTTCAATTCCCAGTACTCACACGGCAGCTCACAGCTGTCTGTCCAAGGATCTGACACCCTCACACAGACAGACATACATGCAGACAAAACACCAACTCACATAAATAAAAATAAATCCTTAAAAAATGTTAAAAAAAAATGTAAAGAACAGCAGGTTAAGGAGCCTGTCCAAGTATGTTTCTCCTTTCCTAAAAGAAGCAGAATTTTCAGAGCAGTAGCTAATGTAGGTGACAATCTATCATTGTTGCTCTTGTGTCCTTGTTCCTAGGGGTAAATGTAGGAAGCCCACGTTCATAAACGGAATCTAAAGAATGCTGTCTCTCCATTATCTACCCGCATCTGTCCAATCTTCATGCTAGATTCTTGAGCAACAATTTCTGGAGAAGTTGGGCTAAGAACAACCACCAATTTCAAATGGCTGAGTCTGGTTTCTCCTATCTTCAGAGGGAGAATGCCCTGGAATAGCATGGCTTCCTCCTCAGTCAGCGCTAAGCAGACACAGTGGCCAACCAGGGAGCCATGGGAAGGAATGCAAGGAACCGCATGCCCAATGATGCTGCGTGGTCTTCTCCCTCTGCAAAAACAGCAGCACAGTGGTATTTCAAGCTCTGCCAATGTCAGGCTCCTGACATGCACCATATGTAGCTGCAAATCCCAATCAATCTCAACATTTCTCAGCTGCCGGAACGCCTTCCTCAACACTGTAATTTACCCTCAAAAGAGCAGGGAGCAAGCACCTCCTTCTCAGAACCATGTTCTTCTACTAAGTACTGCCACCCTCCCATATCCTACTGAACGACCTACGCAGAGGAAGGCACAGAACCCTCCTCCAAAGCCCGAAACAGACGGCCACAGTACATATGCCACTGACAAGAACTTTTATTTCTTTTTAATGACATTAAACACAACTGCTACAAGGGGAAAAACATGATTAAAAAAAAAAAAAGAGGCACCAAACTTCAGTTTCATAATTGATCCCAACAACAAGACAAGTTCAGAGGCCATATCAGATGCCAAAATACTGGCTACTCAGGCTTCTTACTTACAAGTGAACTATTTAAATAGCAAATTTTTACTTTGCTTTGTCAAGACCCCTGTGATAGGAATGTCATCATGGATGATAAAAGCTAGGTAGAGTTAAATGCACATAACCCTTACTCAAATTTAAAAATACAGCATGAATTTAATCTGTAATACAAAACTTAGAGGCCAATACCAAATCTAATATAAGAGATATGCAGGGATTAAAGTCTGGACTCTGCCCATTACCATCTTTAAGGCCAACATGCCAGTTTTCTTTGGCTTTGTTTTTCGCCTTAAAGAATGCCATGTTAACCAGCAGAGAACAGCTCTCCTCCCCCAGTCCAACAGATTCAATTAGGCTGCTAACACTGTGGAAAAACAGAATTATCTGAGCTAGAGGAAATGTGATTGTCACATTTTTCTAGTTAACCTGTCACTCATCTGATTTGGCAAAGGCAATGCTCCCATTATACATTCAGTCTTTAACCCCACAGTCCCAGAAGAACAGCATCTCAGATTTCTCCTAAGCAAATGCTGTATTTCACTCCCTGGGCTATCTGTGGGGGCTACTACTTCAGCTAGATTAAATTTTAACTTTGTTTTGGTCCCAAAGGTGGACTTCTATTTGGCATATCTCATCCTATCAGGGTAATTTACAGCATCTTGGACAAGTAAACAATAATTATGCCAACTGAGAGGAGATTAGACTACTGCCTTCGAAGGGCTGGCCACAGGATCTAAATCAACAAATAGAAAATCCTTGCTGGGGAAAAAAAAAAAAGTCAAAAACTGGGCATGGTAGCCCACATCTTTAGTCCCAGTACTTGAGGCAGAGGCAGGCAGAGCTCTGAGTTTGAGGTCAGCCTGGTCTACAGAGCGAGTTCCAGGGCAGCCAGGACTCCACAGAGAAACACTGCCTTGGGGTTTAAAAAAAAAAAAAAAGAAAAGAAAAGAAAATTCTTGCTGGACACAGTGATATACACCTGTAATCCCAGTACTTGAGAGGTGGGGCAGGAAGATTGGAAGTTTAAGACCATCTTGGGCTAAATAGTGCATTGAAGGCCAATCTAGGCTATATAAGAGACCCAGTCTCAAAAATAAAACACCCCCCTTGACCGACACATATAAAAAGAATTAGTAAGAAAGAAAATCCTTGACTGGATAAAACCAACAAACACTTGGGAACATTTATCCAAACCCACTGAAGACTTGGGGAAAAAAAAATCAAAATCTTCCTAAATCAAAGTTACTTTTCTAGCCAAATGGTGTGGTGGTGGCACATGTTTTTAATCCCAGCACTCGGGAGGCAGAGGCAGGCGGATCTCTCTGAGTGAGGTCAACCTGTTCTACAGAGCGAGTTCTAGGACAGCCAGGGCTGCACAGAGAAACCCTGTCTCAAACTTCCTTCCCCAAATCACTTTTCTAAAGTGGAGTAGAATATTTAGGATGGGTTATCCACATTAAAAAAAAAAAAATGAGACTGACGAAAGAAACCCAGAGAGCAGCTGCAGAACTCTGAGTAACCTCCACAAAGGGAATGATAGCAGCATGACGCCATACTGTAAAACTTCCCAAAATGATGTCTGGAGCTGCCTGTAAGACATCCACTAATACAGACACACAAAGCCTTCAGCTTTGGTTAGAATATCAGGCAACACTGTGATGCACGGGCTCAATCCTAACTTCCCTAGATGTTCTTGAGTACTGATGTGAAATGGTAAGAGTCGGACCAAATCCTAACATCCAGAGTGTAAAGCTAGAGAGGGAAAGAGGGCCTCTCCAAAGGCTTCCCAGGAAGGAGGCCCCTGAATAACATCAACACATAAACTTGGGGTTCTGCTCATGAAACTGAAGATTCCCAGACATCTAGATTCTGGTAAAAGCTTTTCAGTAAACAGAGGGTATCTGAAAGGTGTGTCTACATTTACCATTTACAGACACAACAACACCTCTGTAAAAACCCAGGAGCAGAGTGGTCACTGGGAGTGAGAGAAAAAAAAATCCCTGAAGGGACAGAGAAACCAACTAGTCACAAGACTATGGAGTATTTAACAAGGGTTAGTCAGCTGTCTTTTGTCAGTTAAAATGTGTAAGGTTGACAAACACTGTGAGGAAGATATAGTTAATAGAGAATGAAAAAAGCCAATAATTCAAAACCATAAAGGCAGCTAACAGGTACAGAAAGGAGAGGATTTACATTTTTATCCATCCTTTCAACAGGACTTTTCTCCTACTCCATCTTATTTTAAATGTCCTGAATTACCAACCTTAAAATACTGACAAGTACTCAAGAGACTCAAATTTAAAAAGAGGAGTTGTTAGAAGTGCTCTCTCCCCATTCACGAGTCATCAACAGTAACACTGGCTTGTAGCCTGCAGAACAATCCCTCCTTACAGCAGACTGGAAGATGATTTCCTTGGGATAGTACAAGTAGACTGTGCTTAGAGCTGGTATCTTACTTAAGACTGGATGTTCTGATTTAATGCAGGCCTTCAAAAGGGAGCTACCTTCATCTTAAATTCAAAAAAAAAAAAAAAAAAAAAACCAAAAAACTACACTGCTGAAGTTGAAACGTGTATAGACAGACACAAATCAGGAGGATTCTCATAAAAAAAAAAAAAGACATTACGGGCATTTTCAAACATCTCCAAAAGGTGACAAATTCTTTAAATAGAAATCTTGTGAAAAATAAAACTCAAAATATACAAACAAAAACAGCAGAGGAAAATAAGATGCTACTCTGGACTGGACCCTGGGTAAGGACTGTCACTGTTGATGGGATGAAACATATGGACTGTATGAGAAGTCAGGGAGACGCTGGAAACGGTGGTGGCTCCGCTTGTTTCTGTCAACCCACTGACTCAGGCTGTATCTTTGTAGAGGTTTCTGTCGGAACCGGGCATAATTTCTATTGAGAAGAGAATAAAAACAGGAAGGATTTTCAGTTGGAATGGTCATTTGTATACAAAACAGTTACTATAACTAATCTTTTTGTCTGTTTGTTTGATCTTGTTTTTCAAGACAGGGCTTCTCTGTATAATAGTCCTGGCTGTCCTGGAACTTGCATTGTAGACCAGGCTAGCCTTAAAATAACTCACAGAGATCCTCTGCCTCCCTAAGTGCTGGGACTAAAGGCATGCATTACCATGCCTGGCTGCTATCACAACCATTTTTAAAGATATTTTTATTCCTAGAAATCAGTTTATATGTTGCTTTTTGCTTACTTGAGACAGGATCTCGCTACATAGCCTTAGCTTTCCTGGAACTCACCAATGTAGACCAGGCTAGCCTCAAATTCATAGTGATCTACCTGATTTTGACTCCTGAGTATTGAGAGTATTTGCCACCATGCAGGACTAATATTATATTTTGATGTTACAATTTTAGAAATTTATACTATTTTAATTATATGAAAGCCATCTCATAAATGCTATTTCTTTCCAACTCTCAAAGTCACCTCATTCCTAGAGGTATTGTTCTAAGGAAAACCAATGTGCAATGTTTAAGAGCCAGGAATGGTAGCATATCCCTGTAATCCGCAGCACCATGAGGTAAAGGCATCCTCAGCTACACAGAGGCCAGTGCGAGCTTTAAGTAAGGCCCTGTCTCAAAAAGCCAAGAATAAAGTAGAATTGTTTTTTCTCCCCCTAGCAGTGTTCAGAGCAGGATGTGTATCTCATTGATTCACCAGACCTAGACCTCCAACAGGACTGCACTATACACAGATCAAGGGTGCTTAGGCCGCATTGGTTAAAATCAGATAAAAAGAGAGTCCCAGAGAAGGTAGGTCATCATGTGAGTGTCATAGGCTAAGTTTAGAGACAGAATAACTAACAACATAGACCTATAGTAAGATTTGAGGGTCACCTGTTCTGGGTGTGGGTTCTGAGAAAGACTCTTAAGAATGTGACCCAATCTTAATTCCAAAAATGCTGCCAAAGAACCACGTAGGAAGCTTGCCAAAGACACTGATTCTAGCCGGGCGTGGTGGGATCACATATGGAATCCCAGTATTGGGGAGGCCAAGGCAGAGGAGTTCAACAAGACAGCCCCATGGCTAAAAGTACCTGTAAGTAAAGCTAACAAAGCTGAACTCAACCCCCAGGATTGACATGAGGGAAGAGGGTTGCTGTGGTACAAGTATCCAGCCAGACTACAATAATACTGACTCAAAAAAGGATTCTTAGACCCTTTGTCCCCTGGAGTTAAGGTCGGGACATCACACAGCTGGTTGTGAGAATCAGCCAAGGGTCAAAATAATTTTAGTAGTATTTGACCTTTTTTTTTTTTTAAAAAAAAAGATCTATTTATTTATCATATATACAGTCTTCTACCTGAAGGCCAGAAGAGGGCACCAGATCTCATTACAGATGGTTGTGAGCCATCATGTAGTTGCTGGGAATTGAACTCAGAACCTCTGAATGAGCAGCCAGTGCTCTTAACCACTGAGCCATCTCTCCAGCCCAGTATCTGACTTTTATCTATCACTATATGAGACTATCTGCTGAATCCTTTTTTTAAAAAATATTTTTATTTAACTTTATTTTATGTGCATTGGTGTGAAGGTGTCAGATCCCCTGCAACTGGATCTTCAGACAGTTGTGAGCTGCCTTGTGGGTGCTGGGAATTGAACCCGGGTCCTCTGGAAGAACAGTCAGTGTTCTTAACCACAGAGCCATCTCTCCAGCCCCTCTGCTGAATCCTTTAACCACCCCATCTAAGTTAATATTAGTGAAATCCTACTAGGGAAGTACTGACATTAACTTCTACACTAGCAAGGAAATTAAGCTCAGATTAAGTAACTTTCCCAATGCCACATAGAGGAGTAGGAAGAAAAGTCTGGATTATAATTCATTTATCTGACTCCAACAATTATGTTACACTGCCCCCTCTTTAGTGAGAGGTGTGTGTGTGTGTGTGTGTGTGGTAGAGCTCACAACTGAGCTACCTTCCCATCCCCACACCATCTGAGAACTGCTTGTTTTCTTGTTGATTTTGCTTTACTTATTTGAGTCTATGTAGTCTGGAATTTGCTATGTGCCACAAGATAGCTTAGAATTTATAGCAATTATCCTGCTTCTGCCTCCAGGGTGCTGGGATTAAGTGCTGTGGTTCTGATGGAAGCCAGCATAATTAGAACAGAGTAAGCAGTAACAGTATAGATGAGGTTGGTGAGCCCAGCAAAGCACACAGACATTCTTAGAGGACTGAGGATGGCCAGCTGGTTGGAAGCCAGTGGAAAGAGTGAAAAAGAAGGGAACTTAACTTGTGCTTTAAAAGAATCTCTCTGGCTTCCAAGGTAAGAACAGTAAGCAAGTAATGACACATAGGATACTTGTAAGAATCCAGGTAAAATGGTAAGATATGGTCAGCTTTGGGTGTATATGTAAAGTATATATGATTTCCTGATGCCCTAATATGGAAGGTGAGAAAAAAAATGTTACAGTAACACCAAGGCTTGAATGTTTTATGTTTTTGTTTCTTTAAAGACAGGATCTCACTATGTACACTTGGCTGGCCTGGAACTACGTAGACAGGAGTGACCTTGAATTCACAGAGATCTGCCTGCCTACCCAGCTTCAGTATCTGGGATCCTACTCTAGGTAGGGTAGTACACATCTTTAATCATAGCAGAGACCAATGGATCTCTGAGTTTGGGGCCAGTCTGATCTACAGAGCAAGTTACATAGCAAGTTCTAGGTCAGCCAGGGTTGTATACTGAGAGTCTGTCTCAAACAAACAAACAAATAAAATAAAATCTAGAGTTCTGTGTTTGTTTTGAGATAGGGTCTCCTTATGTCATCAGGTTAGCTTAGCTTCAAAATCATGATCCTTCTGTTTCTACTTGCTGGGTGGGAAGATTAATTACGAGCATGTACTATCACATGTAAACTAAACTAAAACCTGGGTTCTTGAGCTGGCAACATTGTTCAATGAGTATAGGCAACTGGTGCCACACTTATCTATCAACTTGTGTTCAACCCTAGAACCCACGTGGTAGAAGAGAGAACCACATAAGACTTAGGAAGCTGAGACTGGCCTGAATAGCAAGACCTTGTCATGTTGGAGGAGAAAAAGAGGAGGAAGAGGAGATGATTCCTGACTCTGGAGCCAGCAAGATGGCTCAGTGGGCAAAAGCACTTCCTGCAAAAACCCAACAACCTGAATTAAATCCCTGGAACTCATATAAAGGAAGAAGGAGAACTGACTCCACTACACATACCACACATGCAGGCTTTTCCCCCATACACACCACATGCACCACACATGCAGGCGTTCCCCATACACATCACATGCACACAGTAATAAGCTAGAAACCAGATTTTTGGAACCAGAAATTTTACTGATAACCATAGAATTGAAGTGAATCGATCATAATCATAGAGCTAGTTAGTTAAACATTGTGTGTGCATCTAGTACTAAAACCTGAACTTGGGTTCAATCCTTAGCTCATTCTAAGACCATGTTTCTTCTTCTGGAAATAAGCAACTCATATTTCCCTTGCAACCAAACTCCATCCTTCCCTCCTTTAGAAGGAAGGAGACCCACTTACCGTGTAGTGAGATCCGAAGGATGCTGCCAGTCTGGGTTCTGCATATGCACTTGATCCATTAGGGTATCTAGCTCTCCCAAGGGACCTGTGATAGAGGGATGAGTGCTTAGTAAGCAGCAGAGTGTACTATGTTCACCTCAATCAAAGCCAAGCACATGCTTCAGAGGAAAAGAAAGAGGCACTTGACCTTACAATACCCGCTATGACTATCACAAGCAACCAGCACAGAACTTCCTAAGTCAGACCGAGGGCACTGCTTTTGGAAAATGATAGGGAAACAACATGGCAACGATCATTTCCTACCACTTACCTATAAGGTAGGACACACTTCACAGGTACCTAAGAATGTGGCGGTGAGCAAGACATTATGTCTGTCCCTGCCCTCATTTAATGAGGGAGATAAGTAGTTTTTATAAGTGTTAAAAGGAGATATGCAAGCGGCTACTGAGATTGGGGTATGGGAACTAGGAGACTAGTCAGGGATGGAAAAGATGCATAGAAATTAGTAAGGGCAGTGGGGAAGAGACAGAAATCTTTAATTAATTAATAAAGAAATAAATAAATTAAAAAAAAAAGAAAAAGAAATTAGTAAGGTAACAGGCTGTAGGAGGCTTGTTTAAGAACAGTAACTAAGGGCTGGAGAGATGGCTCAGAGGTTAAGAGAACTAACTGCCGTTCCGGAGGTCCTGAGTTCAATTCCCAGCAACCACATGGTGGCTCACAATCGTCTGTAATGGGGTCTGGTGCCCTCTTCTGGCCTGCAGGCAGACACACAGACAGAATATTGTATACATAATAAATAAATATTTAAAAAAAGAATTAAAAAAAAAAAAGTTTGCCTGAAGATCAGAGTGCAACACTAAGCCAATAGAGGCCAGGGAGTGGTAATACGCACCTTTAATCCCAGGATTGAGGATACAGAGGTGATGGATCCCTGTGAGTTCAAGGCTACCCTGAGCTATACAAGATAGATCCAGAACAGATTCAGGGGGTGGTGATTCACACACCTTTAACCCCAGCACTGGAGAGATGGAGACTGGAGCAATATGACTCAGCAGAGAGGGAAGGATATAAAGGGGAAGAAAAAGGAACTCAGAGGAGTATGGAATTTGAGGAATTGTGGAACTGGATCTTGCCCTTTCGGGCTGAAGATTTGGTAGAGGTAAAAGGTCTCTATAGTGGCTGGCTGCTTTGCTTTTCTGACCTTCAGCTTGAACCCCAATATCTGTCTCTGGGTTTTTAATTATTCATACTGTATATGAGCTTATGGAGGCCTTCTCATTCAAACTACCACATAATTGTACAGAGGTTCTCTGAAATATAACTTCACTGCGTGGGTTTTTATCTGTAAGTTCTTGTTATTAAGATTTTATTAAAAATCATATGGAGATAAGTATTCTTAATATCACTTGAAAGATAAAAAATTACAGGTAAAAAAAGTAAACCTGTTTTAACTGTTTAATAACCCAATTCAACTTGTTCTTTGTTTTGTTTTTCAAAATAGGGCTTCTCTGTGCAAGTCCTAGCTGTCCTAGAACTTGCTTTGCAGACCAGGCTGCCCATGAACTCACCGAGATCCACTTGTCTCGGCCTCATAAGTGTGGGGATTCAAGGTGTATGCCACTACTGCCCAGCTTAAACTTATTCTTGTGTGACACCATGCTCTTGTCACTATGTGAAATGCTTTTTTTAAAAAATGTATTTTATGCTGGGTGGTGGCACTGGAAGTCATTGGCTTCCCTGAAACTGGAGTTATGGACAGTTTTTACCTACCATACTAGTACTCATACTAGAAACAAGACCCAGGTCTTCTACAAGAGCAATTAAGTACTAGTTGTAACAGGGCAAAAGTTCCTTCATCTTGTCTCAGCTGCAGCTGTCTTTGATTTAACCTGAAATTGACTCTGCCCCCTTTGCTACTCCCGAGCTCCCAACTGTGAAAAGCCCCATAGGAAAGCACCCAACCTGTTCTAGAAACTCAGGGTTGAAATGCCCCAGCTAATGGCATGTTTTGGCTTCTGTTAAACTGCTTGCTTTACTTCCTTTTGCAACTGCTGATCAGGACGTAGTCTTTCTGTGTTCTTTGCCTTTAAAAGCTCCCCATAAAATGCATTTAGGGATGCTCTACAAGAAGTGTTTCTCAGCTGGGTGGCAGCGGCACACACCTTTAATCCCAGCACTTGGGAGGCAGAAGCAGGTGGATCTCTGAGGTAGAGGCCATCCTGGTCTACAAGAGCTAGTTCCAGGATAGGCTCCAAAGATGTACAGAGAAACCCTGTCTTGAAAAGAAAAGAAAAAAAAAACAAAAACAAAAACAAAAAATCCAAACCAAACCAAAAACCAAGCAAAAAAAGAAGTGCTTCTCTCCAGACTGTCTCCAGCTGGTCCGATATAGAACATCAGTTCAGACTCTGGTCATGCCACCAACCCATCTCTCCAGCCTTGAAATGCTCGTAGTCTTAACCCTTGGGAAGGTGAGGCAGGAGGACCCACATGGGTTCAAGGCTACCCTGGGCGACAGAGGCCACACCTCAAAAATAAACAAAAACAAAAACCCAAAAATGAAAAATAAAGAAAACCAGTACCAGTAACACCACCACCACCACCACCACCCTGAAACCTGGGGCTGGAGAAGAGACTGCTCAGCGCTCGCTTTCTTGCAGAGGACCTGGGTTTGGTTCCCAGTATCCACATAGCTAACAGCTATTTGTCACTTGAGTTTCAGAGGATCTGACACCCTCTTATGCTTTCCACGGGCACCATGCATGCATGTGGTACAGACATATCCAGAGACAAAATACCCATGTACATAAAATCAAAATAAATCTTAAAGAAAAAAAACAAACCCCAAAACCTTAAACAAGCTAAAACTGCACAAAAACAGAAATAAAAATTAAACCCTAGTTTGTAAACAATTTCTCTAGACCAGCAGTTCTCAAATTTTAAGATGTATGTAATCAGATGGAGATTACAAAACAGAGTGCTGGTGGCTAACACCCCAGAGTTGTATAAGTCGGGGGTTTCTAACATTCTTAGTGCTGCTGATCCTGCTAAGAACTGCTTTTCTTTATAATTACCTTAAAAATGTTAAAATCGTCTTTATGTTATCATGTATATATAATATGTATGAAGTATATTAAAATACCTTTTCATAATTAAGAGCATTTTTAGGTATGGAAAACTGTAATTCACTAAGTATATCAATCACACTCCAGGGTCCACGCCCAGGACTACACAAAACAGACTTCTGTGGGGTTTTCTGTGTGCTTTTTGTTGTTATTTTTTTATCATATTAGTTTTTTTGTTTGTCTTGATTTTCATTTTTTTGTTTGGATTTGGGGAGGATTTTTTTTGAAAGAGAGAAAGAATATAAAGTTAGGTGGGGGACTGGGGGAAGGGAAAGTGTATGATCAAAATATACTGTATGAAAAACACCCTCAAAATTCTCAAAAATATATATATACATATATATGCACACACAATTGCTTCTACATCTTTAACCATTACCTAGAACAAGGTAATGAACACAAATTGAAACAGAGGTGAATCCTGTTCATTTCTGAGACAGCAAAAAGATTCTTTTCCTAGTTTTCAAACATATTCCTATAACCAATTATACAAATCTAAACGGAAAACTCAACTTCAATAGGTTGCGACGGGGGAATATTCCCTATCTTTGTGAAAAGTTGAACATTACTAATTATATCCACTCCTCTTTAGAAAGGAAAAACAATGAAAGCTATTTTCTGAGGCAGGCTCACCACTTTTGTTGTTTATTTGTTTGAGACAGGGCCTTACTATATAGCCCCAGCTAAACTAGAACTCCCTATGTAGACCAGATTGGCCTCAAATAAAGATCTGTCTGCCTCTGTGCCCAGAGTGCTGGGATCAAAGGCATGTGTTACCACACTATACCTGGATCGGATTATGTTTTTAAATACTGTATTGTGCAGAGCTGAACAACTGAGGCAGAATGTGCGATGCCAATGGCAGTGGGCCTGACAGGCAGTCCTATCCCAGCTGTTTAACCACATAAAGGTAAGTTCTGTCATCATCTGTCCCATGATCATGGCAGGCTGGTGTCCCTTGGCACCTTCTTCTATCTCAGACATGGAATTTGGGGTCAGGAGCTGATTGGCAGCATTGGGAGAAACCATGATGCAGAGTGGCAGCACTTTGGGGACATTCATGGCCATCGGAATAGGTATGCAATGCTAATCAAGACAGTAACTATGGCAGCTAACATTACCAAGTATGTATGTATCAGGTTCCCCACTAGATGTTTGACAAGTATCATCGAATTCTAACAATTGCTAAGAGACAAATGTCATGATCTGTGTCATTCACAAGAAAACTGGAGTTTGGAGAAGACAGTCAGCCATTATCTAGTATCTTAAGTGGTGAGCCAGGATTCAATCCCAGGTGAGGCTAATAATCCAAAACCTTCTTTCAGGTCATAACTTCAATCTCTTCCTCCAGATTTAGAGATGCTAACAAGAACTGGAACATTTAGATGTTCTCTTCTCTTCACAGCCTCTAACAGATGGGCTTTCTTGGACCAGCAGTCAGTATCATGATTTTATTTTTAAGTTGTGGCTAAAAGGTGGTGAAGATTGTCCTTTGTTCTGTGGCAAAATGAAACTCATTAAACAATAAAAACCCTCACACTTCAGTAGTTCGATGACTAATGTAAACCTTAACTTACAAAGCTGGTATTGGGGAAAATTCTATCTACTAAGTGGCCTTAAAATTTGAAAAGTGGAACTGCAAAGGCACTGGCTGCCCTTGCAGAGGACCTGAGTTCCATTCCCAGCACCTACATGGCAGCTCACAGTCATCTGCAACTTCAGTTCCACAGGATCCAATACCCTCTTCTGACGTCTGCTATCACCAGGCATATACCCAGTGCATGAACAAACATTTAGATAAAACACTCATACACATATAAAAAGAAATCTTTAAAAAAGATAGAAAATGAATTGTGGTATCAGAAGTGAAGAGAACAGATACGGGCACTGCTATTCAATTCTGGCAAGTCTTATACTTCACCATACTTTTGTACTGTATGACACACTACTCTAGTTA